CGAGTGCGTCCTCGGCGGGGCTGCCCCCAACCCCTTCACCCCCCAGCCTGTATTGATACCAGGGATTGCCCCAACGCAGGTGCAGGACCTTGCACTTGTCCTTGTTGAACCTCCTGAGGTTCACACAGGCCCATTTCTCCAGCTTGTCCAGGTCCCTCTGGATGCCATCCCGTCCCTCAGGCATGTCAATCGCACCCCTCAGCTTGGTGTCATCTGCAAAGTGGCTGAGGGTGCACTCGATCCCACTGTCTGTGTCACTGATGAAGATATTAAACAGTACTGGTCTCAGTACAGACCCCTGAGGGACACCACTAGTCACTGATCTCCATTTGGACACTGAGCCATTGACCACTACCCTCTAGATGCGACCATCTAGCCAATTCCTCATGTACCAAACAGTCCACCCCTCAAATCCATATCTGTCCAATTTAGAGAGAAGGATGTTGTGGGGGACCGTGTCAAAGGCCTTACAGAAGGCCAGATAAATGACATCCGTAGCTCTTCCCTTGTCCGCTGAGGTGGTCACTCTGTCATAGAAGGCCACTAGGTTGGTCAGGCAGGACTTGCCTGCGGTGAAGCTGTGCTGGCTGTCTCAAATCACCTCCCTGTCCTCCATGTGCCTTAACACAGGTTCTAGGAGGATCTGTTCCATGATCTTCCCAGACACAGAGAGGAGGCTGCCAGGTCGGGGGTTCCCAGGGTCCTCCTTCCTACTCTTTCTAAAAATGGGTGCAATTTTTCCCTTTTTCCAGTCCCCAGGGACTTCACCTGACTGCCGTGAGTTTTCGAATATCATGGCGAGTGGCTTGGCAGCTACATGAGCCAATTCCCTCAGGACTCTGGAATGCATCTCATCAGGACCCATAGGCTTATGTACATTCAGGTTCCTCAGGTGGTTGTCCACCTGATCTTCTCTTATAGTGGGAGGACCTCTGCCCCCCTGATCCCCATCAAATGGCCCATTGACTCGGGAGGTGTGAGGAGAGAGGTTGCCTGTGAAGACTGAGGCAAAGAAGTTGTTGTGTGCCTCAGCCTTCTCCTTGTCTGTTGTTACCTGCTTGCCACTTCTGCTCATCATTTTTTGGTGATTTGTATGACCAGGAAAAATGAAGTGTGGGAGAGGGGCAAGGAAAACAGGAGGCATCAGGTAACAAGGAAGACTAACAGCAACTGCAATTACTTACTGTCCAAAATGTTTGAAGGGGGCAACCTATTTTATTATTCTACGTTGACATGAACAAAGCACGCACGTTACAGAGGCTGAAACAGGTGGGCAGGTACAAGTCAGCCTGGGGCAGACAAAAAAATCTCTCCAGAGGCGTTTCTCTCTCTCTCCCCTCAGTCTGAGAGGTTTCCAAGGGACAAGACCTGTCACTCGGAGCGAGCGCCCAGCGAAACAGTCCGAACGAGCCAAAAAGCCGGCGAAACAAGCCCCAAATCCTACAACCCTAAGAACTAACACTACCACCGCCGCCGCCCCCGTCCCGCTCCCCGAGCTGCGGCCGCCTCAGGGTCCCCCCCTCACCGCGGTCCAGCCTGGCGCAGCTCCCCCGCCTCAGGTACAACGCGAAGCCGCGGCACCCCCGCCTCTCCCAGGGGAGGACCGCAGCCTTTGCACCCCGCCCGCAGACCGGCTGGAGCGCTCCTGCTTTTCTGCAGGGCTACCGGCGTGACCGGCAGGACAGAGCTACCGGCAGGGCGAGACAGTTAAAACGCGTTGCTGCTCTCGGGGTGGGAGGTGCTGTTGGCCCTTGGCGGGAGAGGCGGCGGCGGGTGATTTGGGGCTGTAGAGGTGCGTGTGAGGCGGGGGTAGGGGGGCGTCCCGGCCCGGGGGTCAGGGTGAATTTGGAGCTTCGCTCGGTCAGACCGAGGAGCCGGGCTGGCCTAGCCTCTGTGCGGAGGAGCCTGGGCCCTCGCCCTTGCCTGGGGACCGGTAGCGCTGTGGGACCGGCACAGTCTGACAGCCTGGCTCGGGAGTACCAGCTGGGCCCTGAAGGGAAAAGGAGGGAGCAGAAGGTTAAAGGTGGAGTGGGGGAGGTGACGGGCACCCAGACGGCCCAGTTGCCCGAAATGTGTGTCCTAAAGGCATGAAGCTAATAACATTCTTGGCATTTTCACTTAGAACTAATCTGGTGGCCTGTGTTCGTAGGAAGCCTTAAAGGAAGAAAACTATGGATAGGGTTAAAATTTGCATTTGGCCTTAGGAGCATAGCTATGCAAGTTATATGGCTAAAGTATTAATGGGGTGGTTTGTCATGTTAATTAATAAATAAATGTTGCAGCTATGGAGAGCCTTTTTGTGTCTCAGCGATGCCCATGTCAAACCTGAGTGGCTCCCAAGCAAAATATTCAGTCTTGGATGCTGAGACCTTCAGGTTGTTAACACGGCAAAATCTGTCAAAGGTCTGAGATTTTAAGCTGGTTTTCCACGTGGTGTGTAATTAAAGGTCTGATTTCCCAAAAAGGCTTAAACTAGTGTCAAATGTGTACTGGGACTGAAAGGAGTGATTCTGAAAGCGGTTATGTATCTCGGCCTCTTGTGTTCTAGCACAGGAACCTGATTTTCTTGAAAATTGGTTGAATACAGTAAAGTACAAGTTCTTTGGTACACAGAGGTATACATGCTTTGTCCACAGTTGGGGTGGCTTAAGTCATGAAAGCACGTTTAAATATTGTGCATGATGGTATTCTCACTTACAGTTTTGCAGCCTTGATTAACTCTGCTTTTAGTTATACACATACAATCTTTAAAGGGGTACACAAGTAAAGAGAATTTGATAGTAGTAATGTATCATTTCTTGTCATTTGGTTGAAAATGTAAAGATTCTGTATGTGACTTTTCTGGTGTGTACTGTTGCTTCATGTCTTGTCTTGGTGTTGGGTTGCCAACAGCAGCACAAAATCTGCAGGTATTGCTGAAGTCTGTAGAGACAGGTTTGAATGTATGTTAGGTTAGTTAATCTTTTGATTGATGAAACTACATGCTACGTCTAAAAATAAGGAGCTTAAGCGCAGCTTTTGTGTTCTTCAATATGATGTTACAGGAAATTTTGATTTGTTGTGCCAGAAATACCTTTTACATTTTTTTTCATGCAAATGAGTAATGCATGCTTTTTAAAACTTTCTATGTAGGAATGTAGATTTTCATCCTGGAGAAGACATCACTTCCGTGATACCTTGACTTAGTCCACTGAAAATGAAGCAAGATTCTACCAGAAACACTTCTTACACTGTGGATTGTGAAGATTATGTGCACGTGGTAAAATTCAATCCATTCGATAGTGGAGATGCATGTTCCCTCATTGCATATGGTGGCAATAATTATGTAGTCATTGGGACTTGCAGATTTCAGGTTAGTTTGTGTTATTGTTGATTTTATTAGTTGCTTCCTGAAACTTACTTTGCCATTACCTCTACTGCACAAAGACCCTGGTCGCTTTCCTGTTTCCTCCCCTCCCCATGTGATCAGGCGAGGGTTTTACTTGTTTATTACATTAACAAGTCTGGGATATTTGTTCTTCAAGAAAATATGTATATATAAGTGTATATATATAAAATACACAGTGGTATAAATTACCATCTTGCATAAAGTTCCTTTTGAATAGAATCATCGAATGGTTTGGGTTGGAACGGACCTTAAAGATCATCTAGTCCAACCCCCCTGCCATGGACAGGGACATCTTCCATTAGACTGGGTTGCTCAAA